ACATCTGCATTTCAATATAAACGAAGTCAAGATTTTTCAATTAGTTCAATGATTGAATTTAATTGTAATGGTTCACTTTCGACTACTGCAAAATGGACAGTCAAAAATTGTACTACTATATTATGTTCATATCAAATTCAACTAAATAGCAAAATCGTTACAACATCAAGTGAACTTTATATTCCAGCAAAAACTTTAGATTATGGACTTTATGAGTTGACATTAACTGTAGCAATGGCTAATTTACCAAATCTAAAAGCTTCTTCTGCAGCTTATGTAAGCATAACTGCATCAGGTATAACAGCAAATCTTGTTCCATTTGGAACATCAATGATAACACGTGGTAGTCAACAAGATCTTGACTTTAATCCTGGATCATATTCTGTTGATCCAGATGAAGATACATTCGATCCAAGTGTAAGTATCAGTTATTCTTGATTGAGCAAATGAATGTATCGCATATGAAGTTCAGGAAAAATCAATTTTAATTTAATCTGTATTTATTCTTTTGTTTATTTTAGAAATGGACATATGCATACTATTGTAGACTTTATGGTTCGTATAATTTTCCAAATTATCAAGGCATATTATTAACAATTGAAAATTCAAAAACTGATCCTAATAATCCGTCATGTTTATCAAATCGATCAGGTAATATTTCAATAGTTCTATTTTAGTAATTATAATTTCACTTTTTTTTCCTTCTAAACAAGATAATACAACAGGAGTAATATATGGAAATTTGACTTTATCACCAAAATCATCTTTAACAATTCTTTCGAGTTCATTTCAAGCAAATCAAGTCTATCAATTTATGGTTCTGTTGCAAAATCGTAAAAATTCTTCAATACAAGCTACAGGTTATGTTCTTGTCACAGTTGTCGATACTCAACCGCAATTGATTGCCATTGGGTAAATATTATCTAAATCAACGTAATGAAGAAGAAGAAAAAAATGATTTATCTATATTTTAGTTGTATTGTATCAGCATTATGTGTTCCGAATCTTGAATTTCAAGTTGTTAATCCAACAACACAAGTTGCTTTATTTGCTGTATGTATTGGAACTTGTGCAAATATTCAAAGTATTAAATGGAATATTTATCAAGGATCAAATAATTCAACATCGTCAAACAGCACACAATGGATTTTATTTAATAATATGATTTCATATGAAAATACTTGGTTTTTTGGTAGAAAACTTCTTTTAATTGACAAATATTTTTTTATTCATTTTATTTACTTCCAGGTATAAATACAAGTAATTTTACTGCTACAAATCAATTATTTATTGATAATCCTCAAATAAGTCTTTGGCGATTTGAAGTTGTTTATACATTTCCATCTTTAACAAGTACAAGTGCATTGAATTTTATTATGAATCAACCTCCTTATAATGGTTCATGTTTAATCACACCAAATAATGGTACAACAACTACTCAATTTACTATTTCATGTTTAGATTGGTTTGATGAAGATGGAATAAAAGATTATTCATTATATGGTATGTTTATTATTATTTTTTACATAAGAATGAATAATTAAATCTATTTATTTTTCAATAATTTTAGCATGGACTACAGATATATCACTAAAAGTAATGATTGCATTTTCAACAGTATCTACTTTTCAAGTTCGATTACCAAGTGGAGATAGTCAAACATCATTACTTAATATTGCTGTTAATATTCGAGATCTTCTTAGTTGTGGTGTAGAAGCGAATATGTCTTCTATTAGTGTTTTAGTAGATACTACAGGAATTAATGATTTAATTACTAATATACAAAGTTCATCCGGTACAATGACAAATAGTCTAATTGTTCAATTACTTTCAAGTGGAAATCAAAATGTTGTTGGACAAGTTATTACTGCGATTTCACAATATTCTAATCAAGTGAATAGTGAAAGTATCGATAGTGCTGTTTCATGTAAATATATTCATATTTTCTATTCATTTTATTATTATTATAATAATAATCTATCATAGATGGAATATCAGCTGCAACTATTTCAATATCATCATTAGGGAGTCAAAGTTTACAACAAGTAATTAAAATGAATTGAATTGAATAGATTTTATTTGATTTTTTTTTAAATATAGAATTCGACATCTGCCAATGAATCAGCTTTAATTGCATTTAATACAGAATTAAATTCTCAAGCAAGTCTTCGAGATTATCTGATCACATTTACAGCTAATCTTCTCATTACAACATCAAATAGTATTAATTTACAAGCATCGTCATTAGCTCAATTAACTCAATCAACAAATCAACTAACAAGAGCAGCTCTAGTACTATGAATAAAATCCTAATTTTTCTTTTTTAATTAAAATTTTCTATTCTAGTCAATCGCATCAGATAAATGTTATCAACTAGCTGTGGCTTTATATTCAAAGGCAGGAAAAATTCCATATGAAGACATTCAAACAGCATCAAATCAAATAATGCAATGTGCTTCAAATATTTTAACTGTAAATATATTCGTTTAATGCAGTGTAAAACTCTATATGAGCTCAAGCATATTTTGTAGACATGTTTATAATCGAAAAGGGCATTTTTTTTTTTGTTGCAGTTAGAAAGTGAATTTCACTGACTATTCATAGTTTAATATCCATGAATGAAATTTTATTGATTAATTTAGGCTGTGAACGGACCATTACAAAAACGAACAAGTACACTTGATTTAGATTTTTCACGTGCAAATACAGTATCGACTGATTATGATACTGATATTGAATCTGCATGGTCAAATACAAGTAAAAATTCTTAACTAATTAATCTATTTCTAAAATTGTATTTAAAGATTTATTTGGTGGTGGTACTGATGCTGCAACAATTGCAGCAAATCGAAATTTATATTATCAAAATCAATTAGCAAATGATATAAATAAACAAGTTACACAAATTATTTCATTATTAACTTCTTCATTAAATATTTACTTAAATGTTGGTCAAAGTTCATTAATAAATACATCTTCAACATATGTGTCATTAGAAACAATATCAATTGGATCACTTTCAAATAAAATTATCGCACAAGTTGGAAATGCTCAATTTCATATTCCATCGGATTTTACATTGAATACAACAGATAATTCTTCTGTTGCACTTCGAGTAACTCTTTTTGTTATTGTTTTTTTAGAAAAATTAATATTTTGAATTGATTTTAGTCAAAAATGGATCCACTTGCTGCATATGGAAATTTTCAAAATACAAATCTTTCAAGATCAATTTCATTATCAATTGTTGATCAAAGTGGAAATGATATTTCATTTAATACAAATGAAAATAATAGTACAATACGATTAATTATTCCTCGTGATTCGAATGTTATAATCCCATCAATGTATTTACAAAATGTAACAACAACAACAACAAATTCAACTAATAATAATTTATTATTTTCTTTACATTATATTAATATTACCAGTTCTCTTTCAGTTTCAGTCCATATTGAGATACATCCTTTAAATATAAATCTTGCGTATTTATTTATCTATAAAGTTAATCAAACACCACAATTAAATAGTTCAATTAATATTATTGATGGTTGGACAATTTTTTGTCCATCAAGTATGTTTTTATTCTCTTGTGAAATTTAGAGAACTTTTTTTTTATAGATTTAACTAGTGACGAGATTTACAAATATTTTATTGATAATGAACAAACAGCTAATTATCAATCGGTCATATTTGGATTAAGAGAATTAAATGAAACCGAATTTAATAATTACTGTAGAAATAATTCGACAATAAATACTGTACCAATTTCTGATCAAAGTTGTAATTTTACATCAAATTATGAATTACGCACTTATACATCAGGTTGTTATTATCTTGGTGAAGATAATACTTGGAAATCAGAAGGATTAATTGTAAGTATGTTTTATGAAACACGGACTAAAAGGAGTTTAGAGGATAGAAACTTACACCCACTACCCAGAGGCGGATCAAGGGTTTTTATGATGAGAAGTGATTTCGATTTTAAACCATATTGTCGCCTCCTATAGATCTGTGCTAATAGTTTTTTTCATTTGTAATAAATAGGTTGGATCATTAACAAATCATTATGAAACTGAATGTTTTTCAAAACATTTAACAACATTTGCTGGTGGTTTTATTGTTTTACCTGCACCCATCAATTGGAGTTATGTTTTTGCAAATGCTGGTTTTTTGCAAAATAAAACAGTTTATTTAATGATGATATGTACGACACTACTTTATATTATTTTATTAATTTATGGTCGTCGTAAAGATAAAAAAGATATTGAAAAAGTAAATTAATAAATATATTTTGAAAAAAAAATTTATGCATCTATTTACTTATTTATAGTTGGGAGTAACACCATTAGCTGATAATCAAAAATCGGATCAATATTTTTATCAAATTCTTGTTTTTACTGGTCAACGAAGAAATGCTGGAACAGAATCCAAAGTAAAATTTTCAACAAAAACATTCTTTAAAAATCTTGTTTGTCTTTTAAAAGGTTCATTTCGTATTATCGGGCGATGTAGATCAAACAAATATTCGAACATTTTCCGATTCTCATCGAAAAATATTTCAACGTGGTGGAATTGATGCTTTTATTATGACTGTACCAAAGTAAAAAAAAAAGATTTTATTTTAAGAGAATTTATAAGATAAAGAAAATAAATATTTAGATCATTGGGATTGTTAAATTATATTCGAATTTGGCATGATAATACAGGTCAAGGCCAATCAGCATCATGGTATCTAAAATATATAATTATTCGAGATTTACAAACAATGGAAAAATCCTATTTTATTTCTCAACAATGGTTTGCAGTTGAAAAAAATGATGGACGAGTAAATGAAATAGTTTAGAATGTTGTATAAATTTGACTTTTTTATATTATAGATTGAACGAATGTTACCAATTGCTGGTGAATCAGAAAAAGAACAATTTTCATATGTATTATCAAAAAAAGCTTATCATAGTGTATCTGATGGTCATTTATGGTTTTCAATATTTTCTCGTCCACCATCAAATAAATTTACATGTGTACAAAGATGTACTTGCTGTTTTGTGTTATTCTTTAGTTCAATGTTACTTAATATTATGTATTATGATTTAGCAAATGAAGCAAAAGCATCAAGTGACTCAAAACAAGGAACTTTATCAATTGGTCCTTTTTATATATCACCTCAACAGGTATATTGCTTTTTTATTGAAGAAACAATTGAAAATTTCTAGACAGAAAAATCTAAGATAGAATGAATTGAGTAGTTATGATGTATTATCAGTAGTAGTTGCCGATTCTCAATCCTATTGGTTATCACATTCTTCTGATTTATGTCATGTATTTCTTACAAAGCAACAGGACATAAGTTATTTGAACTTTTCGCAAGGAGGACGTACGCCTACAGAAAAACTCTTCGCCTTGCAAGTAGTTTTTTAATGTATGTCCCGCCCCCTAGATTCCCCACTGTTTTACACATTATTCCCAATAGTAAAATAACTATATTTATGAAGTTTTAATCTTGTAAAATTATTTAAGATTGGTATTGGTATAATGTGTGAATTATTTACACTTGTTCCAAGTCTTTTGGTTGTTCAATTTTTTAAACGTATTCGACCACGTAAACAAATTTCACCATTACGTGAAGCAATATACAAGATTACATCACCTCGAAAAATGTTTGTATACATATAAATTTTTGTATTTGTTCTTTATATTACATTCTTTTATTTTAATTAGTACAACAAATGATAATGAAATCAAGAAGAAACGATCTTCATTCACATTTCCATGGTGGTGTTTATTTATTGCATATACTTTTTCAACGATGATTATTATTGTTTCAATTTTTTTTATTATTATTCGAGGAATTGAATTTGGTGATGCAAAAACTCAAAAATGGTTAACATCTGTTCTTACTGGATTTTTTTCATCGATTCTTTTTACTCAACCTATCAAAGTATGATTTGTATTTCTTTGCGAAAAGATATATGTATATGTATTGATCTTGTAGATTTTATGTGTGGCTGCCATTTTTGCATTTTTCTATCGAAAATCAAACGATGATAAAGAAGCAAGTGAATATATTGATGATAATGAAGTTGAATTAGATGGTGATGAAGATTATCTTCATTCAGTCGAGGTTTGTTTCTTATTTCATATTTTAATGAAGAAATAAATATATGCATTCATTTAGAGTTATTCTTTATTTAATTCTCAAACATCAAAATCTATTAATCGTCTTAGTGAAGATGAAATAGCTTCTGCACGTGAACAACGTTTAAAAGAAGTTCAAATGTGGTCCATTATTTATGAATTTCTTACATATTTAGTATTTGCAACATTAATCTTTTTCATTTCTTATTCTAATCGTGACAAAAATAGTTTCTATGAAGTTAATCATTTACGATCATATTTTCTCAATACAAGACAAGCCGATGGTGATTATACACAAGTTTGCATTTACTAAAAATATTTGTTTTTGTATTGAATATGAATTATTTTCTAGATAATAACAATAGATCAATATTGGCATTATTTAGAAAATACATTTATTAGTAATATTCGTGCTCAACAATGGTATAATGGAGATACTCCACGAAATCTCGCTGGATTTATAGATGATAAATCTAATCGATTGATTGGTTGGGCAACAATGAGACAATTACGTATTAAATCAGAATTATGTTCTTATCAACGTATTATATCAGTGTGTGAAAGTAGTTATAGTTTATTGAATGAAGAAAAACGTTTTTTTCAACCCGGATGGGCAAATGAAACAACAGAAGAATATAGTTCATCAATACGAAACGCATTTAATTATTCTACAAGTGATGAATTAGATACATATCCTTATGTTGGTGAATTTGATACATATGGAGGAGGTGGTTATGTATATGAATTTCATGGTAGTTTATCTAATTTAAAAACAAATCTATCTACACTTAATCAATTACAATGGATTGATGACAAAACAAGAGCTATTATTATACAATTAACTTTATATAGTCCAAATACTCAATTATTAACTTCAGTTACATTAGTTGCTGAATTTCTACCAACAGGTGGTGTTTTTCCATCAGCTCGTTTTGAACCAATCAATTTTTATAGTAATTTACACGTTTTCTTTATTTCTAAATAATTAGTTATGACTACTAGAATAATACATTCTAATAGATTCAAAGCAGTTCATTTAGTAGTAGTAGTATACCCTCTATACCTTGCAGTGTAGGATAAGATAATAGAACAAAAAGTTAGCGTTTGTGCGTTGACGCACTTGTTAATTGTCTTTCCAGCCCTACGACCCGACAAGTGACTATCAGCTCTCACTTAAGTATACGATAGATTCAGTTTATAGACTTAAATTCGATAACATTATTCTATGAGAAGTGTTTATTGATCAATGTTTTATTTAATTTAGCATTTGGATCTTTATCTCAATTGATTTGTACTGTTCTATATTTATTCATTATTATTTATTTTATGGTAATTGAAATTAAATTATTATTTAAATTACGCTTAAAATATTTTCGTCAATTTTGGTCAGTAATTCAAATCGGTATAATTAGCTGTTCATGGGGAAGTGCTGTAGTTTATATTTGGCGTATATCTGAAGCTAGTCATATTAGTAAATTATTTGGAGAAACAAATGGATATGTTTATATAAATTTACAACTTGCAATTTATATTAATGATATTTTAACATTTCTTCTTGGTTTTTGTTGCTTTTTTGGAACAATTAAATTTATCCATATATTTCGTTTTAATAATCGTATATCATTATTTGCTGCAACAGTGAAATATGCAGGAAAAGGACTTATTTCATTCTTTGCCATGTTTTCTATTGTATTTATGGCATTTCTTTCTTTATTTTATTTAATATTTGTATCAGTCATTGAATCATGTTCCGACTTATTAGGAACTGCACAAATGCTTTTTGAAATGTTATTAATGAACTTTGATGCAGAAGAAATAATGGGAGCTGGTGCTTTTCTTGGTCCATTTTGTTTTACTTTATTTATAATCGTTGTTGTTTTTATTTGTTTGAGTATGTTTATGGCAATAATTATTGATAGTTTTCATCTTGCAAGAGATAATCAACCAGAAGATCCAGCAATTATATCATTTATGATGAAAAAATTTTTACATTGGACAGGTAAAAATGTTTAATTGAATAAAATAATAATAATATGTTTATGTTTTAGGATTGAATAAGCTAAATAAATTAGAAATGGAAGAAGAACGAGATTCTCAGATACGATCACAATATGTTGATCCAATAGAACACTTTCCAAATAAGATTGATCAACTTTTAGAGGCACTCGATAGAGTATGTTAAAAAAGAGACGTCTTTTTCTCAAACAGATTTACCAATTTTTTTTTTATGATTTAGATTTACAGAGATCAAAAGGCGGACCTGTTAAGATTGGACAAAGCTGGAGTATAAATATTATTCGTCGATTCTAATTGCTTAATGTTTACTCAAATTCTAAATAATGATTTAGAATTAACTTTTCGCTTGCTTTCTATGTATTTTATTATATGTTGCTTCATGTAAAAAAATATTATATTAAATATAATCATTTATTAACTATAAGTATTTTGTATCGTGGTTTCCTTGACAGTATGTATAGGGTAAAAAGTTTTGACTAGAGCGTTAAAGAAAAGAAACTCAAGCCATTCTATAGTCGGTGAAAATTTCTATCTATCACTATATGAGCGGTTTCCAATAAATAAGCTTGTGAAAGTATGGAAAATAAAAATAATTGTTTTATGTCACATCTCTACTATGGATTCAAAACTGAAAAATGATGCGAGACTTTTCATACTGTTTAATTGAACAACACAAACAAGGAAATAATCTTTGAAAATTCTCAATTCATTACAAGCAGTTTTTAGTATATAAGAAATATCAAGATTCTAACAAAATGATTTTTAATTGCTGATTTTTCTTAATATAAATACTCAAATATTTTATTTTGACACTTGAAAATTCAAACGTTTTGATTAATCTAATAAAAACTTTTTATCTCCCATATCGAATTAATTGATTATCTTGAGCAAACCTTTGTATTGGAATTTATTTTCAGTAAATTAGAAGTGAACTTGTCGTATAAGTTCAAAATATAGCCAAAAAAAATACAATTTATTTCTCTGATTTTTGATTGGACATATTCTTCTTCCTATATATGATAATGTCTGCATTTGATATATGATCGTAAGTGCATAAATGCATTAACACTGTTCTATTCTTTCCTCCTTTTCAATATTCAAAATCCATAGAATATCATTAACCATTGTTATTATTACATTATATTCCCTATTCCAATATTGTCAGTGTGTATAAACATTTCATTTTCAGATTAAATACATTTTAAAAAACAAACAAAGCAACCCAAAACATGAATTCACCTCCAGTTTCATCGGGTGCTGGTGGTTCACGTCGAGCACGTTATTCACGTTCACCATCAAGTGGTGGTATACCACCATCAAAACGTTCGAAACCATCAAGTTTAGGTGATACTGGTAATAGTTCAGATCATCATCGACTTTATACATCAATTTGTGTAAAAAATATCAATCCAAAAATTCCTGACCTTGGTAAATATTAATAATGAAAAAGAAATTTAAATAAAATCTCTTTCTTTCTTTCTTGTAGAAGTTCGAGAATTGTGTAATAAAAAATTTTCAAAATATGGTACAAATTCAGTTAAAATTTATTACAGAAATCAAGAACGTGTAGCATTTGTTAATTTTACTAATTGTGAAGATGCAAGAAAAGCACGTCATGCTAAAAGTGGTCTTATTTGGGAAAATATTCAAGTTGCTCTCGAACCGTAAGTTTTTATTAAATTTATTAACATATTTTTATTCAATTCTATTTTAATATGTAGTGTTTATTATCGTCGAACGGTTCCAGCTGAACAACCACTTAATCCTGGAAGTCCACGTGAACGTTCTCCACCATCACCAAAACGTCGTCCACGCCGTCCATCACCAAGTCCACCACCGCCACCACCAGTTAGTTCACGAAGTCGACCACATCATACATCTTCACCACCTCGTTCTCGTCGGCATTATTCACCATATATTCCATTACCACCAGATCTAGTTGATTATGCTGGAACAAAATCAAGTCGACATCGACATGGTTCATCACCATCATCGCCTCCACCACCACCACCGCCACCTCGAGCACGACGACGTAGTCGAAGTCGATCAATGTCAACATCACCTGTACCACATAAAAGTCGAGGAAAAACTGATGATCATGCTTTTAGTCGTACTGAATCTAATGTTCAACATGAACCAACACGTACATTATTTGTTGGTAATCTTGAACGAGATATAAGAGAATCAAAATTAAAAGAAGTATTTGGTCGTTATGGAACAATTGAAGAAAGTAAGATATTTAATTTAAAATAAATACTAATTGAATACGTTTTTTCTTCTCCTATAGTTGATCTTAAAGTTCCACAATCCTCATCAAAACGTGCTTATGCTTTTATTCAATATGAAAATATGGATATGGCTTATGAAGCACGACGGGCAATGGATGGACATTTTATTGGAAAAGCTGATTGCAAAATAGGATATGGTATGTATAAGAAGAATTTCCCTTCTTGAGATTTGCTTGCTTATTGTGGCTACATATACATTGTTAAGTATATATGCTTAATAATACGCATTTTTCTTTCTTTCTCTTGTCTGTTTTTGACCTATATCAATCTTATATTTTAGAAATTTCGATGTAAAATTTATATTAATTGTGTTATATATACACAATTTTAATTTGGCGTATTATAGCCATGATGCATTTGCGTTTGAGAGGTCCTTATATATTAAAAATAAGAAACAGAAACGTATTCGGATAGGAAATAAATCATATAAAATTTTATATTTGATTATAAATGATGATATAATTTCCAATGATACATACATACATACATACATACATATATTTGACAAAAACAAAATGTGTAATAGAGATGCAATTTTGGTCAAAATGTTTTTATTATATTTTATTTGATAATGGTGATATAATGTCATTCATTCATTCATTCATTCATTTAATTTTATGCAGATATAAATTCAATTTTGGTCTATCCCTCATTCTTTCATTTCTTTGTCTCCTAAAATTCTTGCGCTTATTATCTCTTCCTAATATATCTTGGTCATTAAAATTTTTGATAATAAAAGAAGTCTAATGATAATGATGAATGAAATTAATTAATTGGTAATATAATTTTGGCTGATATACTTTTACTATGCGTTTCATAGAAACATTTTCTTCTTTTCATTTATTACTATATATATCCATATATTAAAATGATATCTATTCATTGATTACAATGATAGAGAGTTAGCAAAATTCTTTTTTTGTTTCTCTTTATTTTACATGTATATAATATTGGTCGATTGTGAAACATGAATTTATATGTCCAAAATGTATTATATTATAATATATTTCAGGCAAAATTGTACCAACCAATTGTCTTTGGGTAGGCAATATAGCAATCGATATGAAACGACGTGATCTTGAAGAAGCATTTACTCGTTATGGACCAATAAAATTATTTGAATTTTCTAATGGTGATCCAATAGCTGTTGTTTCATATAATGAAATTGAAGATGCAATTTCTGCACGTGTTAAAATGACTGGTGTAACAGAAATAGTTAATGGTAGAAAAATACGAACTGAATCTGGTCAATCAGATTCAACACGTCGAGGTAAGAAATATTTTCAAAAGAAAAACAAAATTTTCTTTTTCTTTTAATTAGCTGGTCTTCGTATTGATTATCTTGATCGACCAACTGCTCGACGTTTTGTTATTGTTCGTCCACAAGATAATACAACAAAACCGCGAACATCTCGATCATCATCGGCTTCCTCAGCTTCATCCGTACATTCACGAACATCAAAAGATCGTGTACGTTCTGTATCTCATGATGATCAACAAGAAAATAATACAAATAAAAATTCTAAAAGACAATCATCACGTTCACGCTCGCGTTCACCACTTACACCACCACCGCCAGCACCCACAAGTAAACGACGAAGTCCAAGTCCACCTACAGCTGGTCAGACATTTTACGGTCCATATGGTTCGTATTTATCATCCGATGATACAAATAATATTAATAATATAAGTGATTTAATGACATTTTGTGAAAAATTAAATACACCCGTATTAAAAAATAATACAAATTCATCGACTGCTTATCCTGTTCAATTTATACTTAAATCACATGCATATGATGCACGTATGCATTTTCTTGCTGGAAGTCCGAATCTTGCAAATACTATTCTTGGTAAAGAAAGAAATTTTATTGATTTATTTTATAAAAATATTTTATTTTCTATCTAGGTCAATTAGGTAATCAAACAGATAAGAAGAAAGAATTAAAAGTAACTCAACGACTTCGTCTTGATCAACATAAACTTGATGATCTTGAAAAAAAACTTCGTACAAGTGTTACAAATGCATTATCAAATACGAATAGTAATGGGCAATCAACATCATCAACTAGCCGAAAACAACGTAGTCCTGCTGATCAAACCAATTTTGCAGTTTTAATTACATCACCAAAAGCAAATCTTTCGAATACGAATTCATCAAAACAACGTAAATCCAATGGAAAAGGAGGTTCACCAAATCAACCATCTTCTTCCGATGAAAATGATGATCGATTACAAGCAAAAAAAAATATGGAAGAAGATGATGATTCATCACTTTCACGTTTAATTTCTTATCTTGCTGCGTATGTATTAAAAACATTAGAGGAATCAAACTACTGAATATCTTTAATGACTATTATTTAATCTATTTTTAGCAAAGAAGCAGCCGGTGTGATATCAGTTCCACTTCATTCAAATTCCAACAATAAAAATGATAATTCCAATGATCAAGAATCAGCTGTCTTACATATATTTCCACCGTGTCACTTTAGTAAAAAACTTTTAAAAGTTGTATGTCCATCAATTAGTTTTTCAAATGGTCCACGTACACCACCATCACGACCAACAACCACGCTTACCGATGAACATCTAATGGTCGTGATTGTAAACCACGAATAAATAAATGATAAATATCTGTTAAGAACAGTACATAAACGAGAAAAAAAAAGAATTTCAAATTATTGTACTATCATAAACGAAATTTGTGATTTTGATTAATACAAAATCGATGAACATCTTGATTTTATATATTCGATAGTTCGATTTTCAATACACTGTGTATCCGAGAATAAAACATCGTTTATTATTATTCAGTTTGTTTACTCCTTAATCTAGAAGCTAATATAAAGCTTTGTACATTTTGTTCTGTTTTTTTTGGTTCGTTTGCTTTGTTTGTTCTTTTGTCTAGTTTACACGTGGTTAAAACATAAATGATGTTATTTCTATTTGTTTTGCGTGCACACGAGTGTGTTGTATTGTATTGTGTTCATGATCATGCTCTTCTTTTTTTTTTCTTCTTTTACTGAAACATGAAAAATTCGAATCTATATATCATATTTTTATTTACTTACAATGATATTAATCAATTTCATAAATTCTATAAGACTCTTTGAAAATCAACTATTATTTATTAGCAAGTCATATTTTGTTAAATTACAAATCGTATTTATTTACTATTTTAAAACGAAGTTATCTGTAAACTAAATTCGCTCATTTATAATATCATTTGGAACAGTACTGAAAACATGCTGGTGAAGTCAAGTCAAAAAATGTATACACACGCAGATGTTTTATTCACTTCGGTTTTGATTTGTAGATTAAAATGCATTGAAAAATTTCAAATCAAATGTGAGACTTTGAAATTCATAAGACAATTTTTTCTCAACTGGTATACAGAATGAAACCACTAAATGTTGATCTTTTTATAAACGTATGACTCGACTTAGAATTAACTTGAATCAAAAAGTCTCTGACTTGCCTATTTCTGCTTTATACTTGAACAGTGATTGAAGATATAGTTATATGAATTGAATCGATCTTCTTATGCGGCTACAAACCCCACGTTTCAGTTGCATTAATAGTAAGGATATATTTCCTTCGTATAGATCTTGTGGCAGATAGTCGGATTAAGATTTCATTAACATCAACAGATATTCTCTAACTTTAAATAACAAAAATGAAAAATATTATTTAAACTTATTTATTTCATTCAAAATTTGTTCATATCAAGCATATATATATATATATCGAATTCTTGGAACGATTGTTTTAATAAAAACTTTAAGAAGACATTATAAGTAGTATTTTTTATTGATTATCTGTTGCCAAGTGTATTGATTATCTTTTAGAAACAAAAGTGAGAAGAAATAATGATGTAAACGTAAATGATCAGAAAATTAAACAAAAAAATCTTTGTAAAAAAGATATAATAAATATCTTTTATTTAGAAAAACTTTGCTTACATCTTAATGTTTTTCGATCGATACTACTAGCTAAATCTGAATATATTGAACTCCGTATCCATGTTAAAGATAGTTATTATCAATTTTCTTGCAAGAAAAAAATACAGACGTTTGATCGAGAACTAGGATCAGTACGTAATGTTCACTTTCAATAACAATCTTATTGTATGTAAAAAGTACAAAATGCTATATGAATTATGTTGTTCATTATCTTTGTCCATACAGAGTTTAAATTGTCGATATTAGATGAACTCATGTGATGAATTAGTGTCTCCTATATTTTGCAAGTACATCAATTTGACTTCATTCTATTACAATCATGAATGCTGAGAATTTCGTGAAAACCTTAAAATCGTTAATTCGAAACTGTATTTGAAGATTTTTACAAACTAATCTAAAATATTTAAATAATAAAGAAAATTTTAACTGTAGTAAAACTTGTTTATTAGAATTTTGATAAATCAATTTCACTCATATTTAGTAATCTTGTATTTTAAATAAAAACAAATGAAATTTTAGATACTTTCGAATACCTGGACATAAAGTAATTAATATTTTTATTTTGAACAACTTCTGAAGCACTTCACAATGTAAGTTTTATAAGTGTTTTATGTAGGATGACTGTCTACATAAACAATTTAAGACTTCAACTGAGTATCATTTCTATATTTTGCTTTAAATAAAATGCTACATTACACATAAATGTAAGTTGAAATTCTAAACGGTATTAGTTATTTCTCATAATTAATATTAAATTATTAGACGTCATATTAAGACTAATTTTTGAATAACTTGAAGTAGTCAGTGTACCAGATATTACTGACAGATCATGCGATCTATATAGACTGTAAACATTGCGTATATAATAATATTTTTACTGAATCTTCTCTTTTCATATAATAGACATCAACATTTTCCAGGTTATTTCCTGTCTAATTAATGAAATAAGACCTATTTCAGTCAACAAAATCTAAGTAGATACATTATTCAAACACATATATGTGGAGAAAAATAGAGCGTGAATAGTTTTGAGAAAGATTGAAATTATGCTAACAATTCAAAACGAATTTTCTAAGATGTATTAAAGTAGAAATTCAATTTATACTGATAATGACTCACATAGTAAAGTGTACCAAATTATTTTAATGAATAATCGATTAACATATACTATTCTCATACAATAGAAACATCGTGTTATAGACAATTATTTGTCATTATCTATTCATTATGAATATTCTAGAAGGTTTTTATCAATCATTTAAGCAAATATTATTTCCTATTCATAGACTATTACATTTTATTGTGTCATAATATTTATGATTCATATTTTCAGTTTAATAAATTTAACTAACGATCCATTATGACATTAAAATGCGTCTAGGTAATAATATGATTTATTTTTTCAAGCGTTACATTATGGTATGACGTTGTAAGAATTTTTTTCAATCAACTTAAAATAGTTGCACTTTTTTACGTCATCATATTGATCATTCAACAAAATTTTTATTTTCTTCTTTCCAAAGAAAATAAAATCTACTATGCCTTTTTTATCTCTTATTTATGCAATTTTTGTTTTTGATGAAAAGAAAAAAACATTCAAGACTGACGACAAAATTATATGTTGCCGGCTTCTTTTTGCTAACAATTTTGAGTGTGTACTTTATTTTAAAAATAGAACTTGTAATTATATGACCACATGTTAGATAAAAAGAAGGTTTCCTAGCCACCCACTTGTCTTTATGTATTAAACAATAATAATTAACTGTGGTGACTTTGTACTTCGAATAAAGAATTTGAATAAAACAAAAAGATGACATAGATCTAGGAAAAGTTCATTTTTAATAAATTGTGTTGATGAATAAAGAAAATACTTTGAAAACAAGTTTATACTTTAATTCAATGTGACAAATACTCATTACATATAATCAAATTTTTCTTCATATATCACAAAATGAGAAATGTCATAAAATAAAATTTCTATTATACACATATATCAATATCGAAAACAACAGTTGAATTATATATGATAAGACAATCATATATTAATCATAAAATATATAAAAAATCACACAGTAATATGCGCGACATGACATGATATTTTTTTCAGTAAATGAATGATGACGTCAATGTATTTCCGTAGCTGTTAGCTAAAAGATATTACTTGCGTGGATTCTATTCTTTAATAATAAATAAAAGAATTCTTCTAGAAACAGCAAAAAATAATGTGACATGTTATATAATTCTTTTTATTTCGATTGCTTTATCTACGAATAATTATTAAGTCCAACCAAAACTATTTAATTAATTTTCGATGTATCATTCAAGTGAACAGATGTTGATATTCTTTAAATAAATGTTTGCTTACCAGATGCTTATTTATTTTCATAAAAAATATATTCCTGCTGTTCTATATATTTTTAATTTTATGAGAAAATATCATATTAACCATTTGATGGATTGTTGAAATATTTTCAACGTTAAATTTGTCATTAAAAACTTATTGAGACAGACAGATAATTAAACATAAAATTGTTATATGACTCTTAGAAAATGAGACATATGACAAGTAACAAGCAATTAGTAAAAAGATATTCTTTTCGAATAATTAACTTTTTTTTTAATTATTTTTAGTAAGATAAGAATTACAGACAAAAAAAAATAAAACTTGACCATAGATAATGCTATATTTACTAACCTTATGCGTTATCAATCGAATAAATATGTATTTTTAGATAAAGCCCACATAGGAAACATTTTTGGTTGTTTTTTTTATGTGCTTTTTTTATTGACATTGAAAAAGTCATAAGATTTGACAACAAAAAAGAGAAAAATAAAAGAAACGAGTTCACCGGTTAGATCGCGCGCGCAATTTTGTCTTTAAAAGTTACTAACAACATCAATAACAAAAGCAGATTACAGACAATAAGCTAGTGTAGATGAATATGAATAAGAGCACACCAAAAAAAAAGAAGAAGAAAAAGAAACGAAAAGATATAAGTTCGAGAAGCGCCCGGCTTATCGAATGAAACAAATAATTATATATATTATATGAGAACAGACCTGCTGTAACAAAGTCAAAAATAAAATGAGAAACAAAAGCGATTATAGTTCTTGCGCGATCTTAAAATGTTATTTTCTTTTCAAGCAACAACCCATCACACTTTCTTCAATCTAGAAATCATTTATTAATGCGTCAATACTTGCTAATTCTTGTTCAAGTTGACATTTCATATATGTATCATCGACTGTTTTTGTTGTCCAGTATTGCATGTTGGTATCTGCTGAATATTGATCATATTCATATTGAAATAATTGCGATGATTCATTATCGAATATGAATGGTGCAACTGCATTTGAAAGTGATCGAGTGAATGGCGACGGGTGTTGTTGGTGGAAAAAGTCATTGCTGTTGCTGCCATTGTCGAACATAAGGAGACCCATGGAGAGTGATGGACTATGGGCCATGATGGTTTCTTCGCTCGTCTTTGGCATTGATGGTGAGACTAATTTAAAATATAATAGAAATTAATATTTATGATAAACAAAAAACTCTCATGATGCGCACCCAAATTTACTTGTTCGACTTTGATTGGTGCATAGATTGGTTCAGTATCTGCATGAATATATTTAATATATTCATTTCGCATTGATGGACTATTAAATCGAGAAAGAAAGTATATAATACAACTTCTTAGAAGAAAAAAAACTTACTCGATTAATTGAGCATCAAATGAATATTTAATTGTTTTAGCTCGTCGTTCACGAGTTGGTCGTATTTGACAAAAGAATGTCAAACGATTTTCACCATTTTGTGCATATACATCGAATACTTCACTAATAATTTTTGGTGTACGTTCATTTTGAACTAAAAAAATAAAAATTTGTCTCTATTTTTTTTCCTTCAAATTAATATCAATTATTTACAGTGGACACGTCGAATAGTTTCGAATTTTTCCAAATCATCTCGTACTAAATATCGACCAAACCAATTTCCAATCATTTCATTTCTTGAATAACCAAGTATATCTTTCATACTAAGAAAATAAAATATTTTTAAATAGAAAATTCTTAGGTAAACAACTTACTTTGATGATACTGTACTAACAGTCATATCATCATTTAATGTAATTTTAACCATTGTATTAGCCATTAAAGTTGTTTGCGATGAACTCGTTTCATTTGTTGTACAAGAAACTAAAGCTTGACAACGAGCAACAAATAAACGATCATAACATGAATCATGACATGTATAGAAATGGCCTGCCATTGTAATTGTCTAGATAATTATATATATATTAAATTAGAAAAAAATAAATATATATTTTTTGTTTTCTTACTTTGATATCTTCACGTGTTCGACTAGGACGTTTACCTTTAGGTAAACGAAAAGTACAAACAAGTTGATGTTCTTCACCTGCCAAGTCATCTGTCGAATCAAGAATGGACTGTAATCGTTTGCCATCAGTTTCATCAAGACATTCATAGAGATTCATACATTGGGTATATAATGAACGCTAAAGGAAGATTAGTCTTTTCTTTTTTTTTCTGTATAAGTTCATAAACATTATCTTACCATTGTTTTTCCTAAATGCTGTTCAACTTCATCGCTCATAGCGACGATACGACCATCATTACGAAGTACAAGAACAAATTCACGATTATTAATATTTGTTTGAATACCTCGTACAAGTTCAATATCGCCTAGAATGATTAAAAATGTAAAATATTAATAAATAATAAGAAGAAAAAAAAGAAATTCTTTTACGTGAGTATTTGTCACCATTTAAATATATGTCTTTGATTAAACGAGCATTTGTTAAACCTAAAATTTCATTTTTATTCTTTCGTCCACCTACACGTATAACTTCACGTTGACCAGGTCGTCGCACATATGTTGCATCATAAAGTTTATTGATTTCAACATTAGTATCATCTCGACGTTTTCGAAGTGGCTAAAATATATCAAATAATTATATTATGCGTCAAAACACTCAGTACATTAGAGCAGATTATTAATACTTCATGTTATTTTAATTACAGAGTAGAGAAATATTGGACGACATTGTCGTCTTTTTCTTCTTTTTAATAAATTCTATAGAGTAAATAAAAATTAAAATGATGTAATTATTACCTTGGCATCATCATATTCTTCTTGATGTAGACCTAATTGAGAATTGTAATATCCACATTCGTTTATCGTTCCAGCCGATAAATCAAAAAAATTTTGTTGTGTTTGACAATATTGTTGAATAGACATGGTTTTATTTTGATAGAATTTTATTGAATTTTTGTAAGGGATAATCGCCTGCGATATAATATTAGGAGAAAGCTCTGCCGCCAGCAGCAGAGAACAACCTTTCGTTGATTACGTTTACCGACAAATGATTGTCATAATAAGTATTACACTTCTCTCTCATATCTTTCTCTTTTTCTCTCATTTTTTTTTCTTGTTTTTGCGCTAAAGCCAATAAACCTCGCATTATGCTTCTTGTTCTTTTTTTTTCTTCTTCTTTTTACATATTTCTAATAAGCATAATATATTTTTTTCTATCATGTGTTTTTTATGGACTTCCGTTTTTCTTTCTCGTCTCGTATTTCATTGGAGACAATTCTGGCAAGGTAGTCGAAAAAAAACAACTAAAAAAGTAAAGAAAGATATTAGTAGAATATTTTCTTCTCTCTTTTCTTCTTTACTAAGCATACAAGCATAAATATTTCATAGATGCTTATGTAAAGGTAACTCGGAAGAATAAAAAAAAGGAAAAAAAAGTTCTCCAACATTTACTATAATTACTTTCTCTCATTTGTTTCAAAGAAAAAAAATAAATATAAATACTAAGTCAAAATTTGACATAAAAAAGACTTGTCTTGAAAAGATGATTAAAAGTATAAATGTTCAATCTTTTTAATTGCTTGATTGATTGATTAATGAAAAATAATTTTTTTTATATATTTGCGTCATATTAACTAAAAATCATGCAACATTGTTTAAAAGTAAATATTTTTATATTTGATAATATTATATGAACACCTGCCTAGATTATAATATATGTAGAAACAATGACGCACTAGAAATTACGAGAAAAAAACAAAATTCCAAAAACAGTAAATATTTAACGATATTGGAAGTTAATTGAATCATCCATTTAATTTCCTTAAGTAAAAAAATAGAATACATGAAATTCAGTGCTTTAAAAAGAAAAATCTTGCTGTACTTTATATTAGTTCTTTTAGAATATTTTCTCGATTGATTTTATAATAATTAAACTGATTATATGAGTATATATAATCGTTAAAAAATATTTAAGAATTTATTGTATAAAATCTAAAAACGTAAATATATATATATTAACAAATATTTTTTAGGTACACATGGGTATGTGAACGGCAACAAATTGTTAGCAATTTCTTCCGTATACTTCTTAATCCGAATGGTTTTTTTTTGATAAATTGTGCTATTAAAAAGAATTTGTAAATGCATTTTTACAATTGATTACATTCATAAATGAGAATTGAAATCGAGCATAAAATTCAACATAGAACTATTTACACTCAAAATAGAAACCTTAAATATATTAATTGAATGCCTATAGTTCGGAAGTACTTTTAATCAACATTTTTTATTGTTATGTTGTAGGAAAAAACAAGAAATCAATTTATATTATTTTCTAATAGATTATTGAATGTACCTTTTGATTTTTATTATGTAAATAACTGTTTTTTATCCTCGAAATATATTAATGATTTATAAATATTCTATTTCACAGTGTCAGACATTCTAATTGTGCTCATTATATTTATGTCAAGACAAGTCGGAAATACTGTCTATCTATACTTTCTTCTATTTATAAAATTTAGTTTAATTTTATTGTGGTCTGGAATCATCGTAAATATCTCTGACATACGATATTTTTAGTGATGAAAAAAAATAAAATAAAATTCTTTTTTTTATATTATGCAAAACACTTTTTGATTGAAATATGAGTAACTGCAGATCAATCTAGTCAAGTATATAATGATGTTTTTCTATTCGATACAATTTCTGCATGGGCAATTAATTTATATTGTGCATTTGACCTAGATTATGCCAAAAATAGTGCTTATATAGTTGCAGGTTAATTTATGTTTTTACACATCTCATCATACATATAGATATTTCTTTGATCTAAAACCTTGACGTTAGATTAAATTACTAATGCTGGAAGTTTTTTTTGTATTGTCAATTATAAGACTAGACGCGAGAGTTTCCGTATCAAACTAATAATATTAAAACATAGACTAATGTTGATATATTTTGATAACAATGCTGTATGTAAAAAATCTAAAGCCATTGGATGAATTAGAAAAATACAATTTAAACATGCCGTGATATGTAAATTCATAAAATATGAAGTATCGATTGCTTTTTTTAATTTTCCAAAAAATTAAAATTTTAGACTACCTTGCAGAATTTGATAAATTCATCTTTATTTTTGTAAAAGTAAAGAACAGTTAATTTGAAACTACTTAACCAATTCAACAAACTTTTCAATTGTTTTTTATGTAAAATAAAATCCATTAAATGAAAAATTAGAAAGACAAATATACTTGTTGTTTTTTTCAGTTAACTTTCCGAGCATTACTGAAAAATTAATTTGAATACATTCTTAATAAATTATATAGTATAGAAAACAAAGTCAAGAAATTGATGCCAAATGTTTTTCATACATTTTCTTTTCTTTTTTCAACGGATTATTTTTACATTTTTATTAAAACAAAAATGTTAAATAAGTTTTTCTTTCTTTCTATAGAGAATCAATAAATTTTGTTTATGCAAGTTGTCGAACAAGAAAAAGACAAAGATTCGTATAATTCGTTTCAAAAATGCAATTGAGTGAAAATGTCGTTTAAAATCGACACGTGTAATGAAACAACTATTCTTAATAAATATGGATGGCATCTACGATGGCCTCGTCGTTGGATAATTACACTTGGAATAATATTACTTTCTCTTTCTATATACATAGCTGCTATGGAAATTGGTCATACAGTTTTCGATCTATATCGATCAACAGCATTTGGAGGTTTTATAAT